GTTAACAAACTGGTCTGCCAACCGGATTTTTTTAGTTTTCCCCTTAATCTCAAGGTAATTTTTAAAATGCAGAATAAGTTATTTTTAAAGCTGTTGTTCCATCAGTAGGTAGTATCGTTGTGTAAGCAAAATGTATGGTATAATTTTCTAGATATGTTGAGTTAAAAATAGTTTTCATTTTCAGCCATCTTTATACATCCCATTAGTGTTTCCTACATCTTGTGTAATTTTTACAGAAATAGTCAACATTTTACAAAAGTGTTCATGATAGTTTTTTTCTCCTTTGCCATAGTCTTTCATTATAAAGGAATCCAAATGGCATTTTGGTTTTGATAATTATGGAAAATAATTGCAGAAATTGTGTGTACATTTTGATTTCATTAATAATCCTCTTTTTCTTTTGGGCTGAGGTAAATGGTTTTGGATTTGTCTTGGTTTCACATCTGAAGACTGCTTTACAGTTACCACAGCAATACTATGAAAAAGACAGGGCAATTTTTCTCTATTCTCTCCTTCAGTACTTTCCCAGGACTGTGCTTAACTTCTAGTTCCCTCTTTTATCCCTAGTGTCTAGTGCAGTGTGGCACATTGATGCTCAGCAAATGCTTCCCGAATGAACATAATTTCCATTTCAGGTACTATAGTGGCTGTTTATACTTGCTTCAACTTTCCTAATTAATGGCAGGAACCATGTTTTGCTTATACTTCCAAGTGCCAGTGCAGTGCCTGGCATCTAATGATACACAGCAAGTATTTAGTTGAATTAAATGTCTTGCACAAGGTTACTTCAGGAAGGCGGACTTCATAAAACCTCTATTTTCTGAAGCCAAGGCTTCTGTTTTCAGTGCACCATTTAACTTTTCAGGTTGAATCCATATAGAACTAAACATTTATTTTAATTTTTAAAAATGACTATGTAGAATAAATTATGAATCAGTTTGATCCTTTCTAGTAAATGCCTATGCTGTGATTTTAAATAGTTCCTTCTCCTCCTCTACCACTGTCAAAAAGATTATGGTATTTTAAAAAGTATACTTGTCCTAAATGTCTTACCAGTCAGTGTTCTCTTGGGGAGCAAATACATTTTTATGTATCTACTTGAACACATGGTAGTGGACTCAGCAGTAAATAGTGTGTGTGTGTGTGTGTGTGTGTGTGTGTGTGTGTGTGTGTGTGTGTGTGTGTGTGAAATCTTTTGTCACAGTTTTGGCAAAAAGTATATATCATTTAGTAAATAATCCCAACTGCAAGAAGAATGTTAAATTAATTAAACATTAATATTATGCAATCTTTAAGTAACCTGAAATTTAATTGATGCATAAATTTATTCTGTAGTGCTTTGAAGATTTACTGGGCAATAGCTGGCTTTGCCCAAAGAGGTGGGTCCCCATCTCTATGATTTTAGTGATCTGGGGAGGGAGTCCCTAGTGGTAGCAGTGCCAGCAGCAGCATTGAATGAACAACCAGCTTAATATGATTAATGGTAGAATCTTTGCTCTTTCCCATGTTCAACAGCAAAAGGAAAAACATGTTCATAATAGTCAGTGGTTGGTGTTTCCAAGCATCACTATTATAGTTTGGATTTTCCTCTCCCTATCAGATCTCCTCCTTTTTGATTCTTCGTTGGCAGGCACCTCTTCTCAGACTAGCTACTAAGAGAGCTCAGTTTGGCCCATCCCCCACCCCCCCTTAGCTCTCTAGTGTTTGCAGGTTTTGATAATGTGGATCTCATTAGTCACTTTTCTTTTAATTCTAGTAGAAAAACTAATGCCACTCCCCACCTTCTCAGGTACCTGATATTTTTGGGAAGTATCATATTGAGTTTTTATGTCAGTGTAATTTGATTGTGTGATTGATTGACTAAAATCCAAGTTATGAAAAGTGGTAAGGATAAACTTATTTCTTTATTTTTGCCACCAAAATGTTTAATTCTAGAAGAATGCTTTTGGAAAGGTGACAGAGTTAAACTTTTTAAGCTTATTTATTTATTTTTAAAAATAATTTACTGTGTTTTAGATGAAATTTTACACAACAAATTAGGTTTCCATTTAACAATTTTTATACACACTGTCTTGTGACATTGGTTACATTCATAATGTGTCAGTGTTTTCAAATTTTTTTTTTTATTGTACTTTAGATGAAGGTTTACAGAACAAATAGTTTCTCATTAAGCAGTATACATACTGTCTTATGACAATGGTTAACAACCCCGCGACATGTCAACACTGTCCCTTCTCAAACATGGGTTCCCTTGTGTCAGCATTTTTTAGCTTATTTTTGATAAGGGGAAAAAATATCCCAAAAAATCTGCTAAGGCTGCTACTTTTGCAGAATCTTGGTTCCAGATAAGTTAACTCACCCACCAGCAGTTTTCTTAGCAGTTCCATACTTTTCAGGATCCTGGTATATAGTATTTAGAGTGCTTTTTAGACTGTCCACACTCTAACAGGTTCATGGTAAGCAAGCCAATCACTGTGGTATTTAAAAAAGTGTAGTTGTCCTCAGTGTCTTTCCACTGTTCCCTTGGGGACCAAATATTTTTTTGGTATTTGGGGACCTGTCTAGTCTAGCTCTGTGCACTTACTGTAAGGGGAGGATTTTGTAGATGGAGTTTCTTTGGGTCCTGGGCATTGTGGTACATAGATTGGCTGGGTCAAAACTCCTGTTAATGTAGGCTCTCTTGCCAGTCTTCCACTCTAGGCAGCAGTATTTGTTTCCTGGGTCAGTTGTTGTGGTATATTAAGAACTTTCTGACTCAAGTTCTTTTACCTACTCCACCTCTCTTGTTCCTTGGGTGCTAACCTCCCCCCCTCCCCCTCTCCAAAAGAAGGAGAAACAGCAACAACAAAGGAACCATTTCTGAAGTGCAATTTGAGGTAAAACCAGGACCAGAAAACCTTGGAAGTTCTCTCTACATAAAGGCTGCCTACCCTTTTCTCCATCTTTTTCCTCAGATTAAATTGGATAGTGTAACAATTCAAGTTAAAAAAGAATTGAGTTTAAAACTAAAATTAATGATTATGTTTTCTCCTATTGTTTATTTCAGTGTGCTTGAAAAATTCTTAGGTTATATGTCAAATAGCCTTTTTTGGGGGGCTAATGATAGCTTTCACTTATGAGCATTTACTGTGTGCTAGGTGCTAGTGAGTACTTTATGTATTTTCTTTTAGTCTCCACAAGAACCTTTGAGATAAGTGTGGTCCCATTTTAAGATGAGAAATCTAAGGCCCAAAGAAAGAAGTCTTAGGTGCCTTGCTAGTAAGTGAAAGAGCTGGAAGTTGAATCTAAATCTGGCTGACTCCAAAGCCCTGCTCTTCAACCATTATTCTAACAACTAGTTACACTATTACAGGTTGCAAGATGTATTCTAAATTCTGAATACAACCAGCTTATTTTGGACATATCTACCAGTTGTAAGCTGGAGATTACGTTGTGATTATAAAGAGGTGTTTTAAGAGGTATATCAGTTCTTTTTACACCTTAATCATATGGCACTGATACTACTGCATGAATTTTCCTTTTTTCGCCCTTGTGAAACATGTATGGTATGCATTTTATGGTATGCATTTTTCCCCTTTGCCTGATTTTCTGCCCTCTAATTTGGGATTCGAAAGTGCAACAGACCTTTGATATCATGCAGCTGGATTGTGGTTGGTTGTTCCTTTAACTGTCCCCTTCATGGGGATTGACTATTGCTGTGATATATTCGTTACTTGGAACTTGTCAGTATATCATTTGTTCTTCCTTCTTTCCCAACAGGCCTTCCAGTTCTAACATGAGTGCTATTAACTCTAAGGCATAGGTAATTATGGTTGTTGTCTTTATATAGATACTACTAGACTTAGTGTAGAGCCCCGATGGCGTAGTGGTTAAGAGCTTGGCTGCTAACCAAAAGGTCTGCAGTTCAAATCTACCAAACGCTCCTTGGAAACCCTGTGGGGCAGTTCTGCTCTGTCCTATAGGGTCGCTGTGAGTTGGAACTGACTCGATGGAACCTAACAACGACAGCAACAGCAACAATAAGATTTAGTGTTAAGAAGCCCTGGTGGCACAATGATTAACCACTTGGCTGACTGAAAGGTTGGCAGTTCGAGGTCACCCAGAGGCTTCTCAGAAGAAAGACCTGGTGATTACAGCCAAGAAAACTCTGTGGGGCAGTTCTTCTCTGTTACATGGAGTCGCTATGAGTGGAAAATAGACTCAGTGGCACACAACAACACAGTTAGTGTTAGGTTGTTGCTTTATTGTTACCTTTGGAAATTCACAAGGTGAGAGTAGAGGGTTTTATTGGCCTACTTTCTTTGTCCCAACCAGAGTCTGTTCCTCGTTTCCTTAAGTGCAAGAGTATGCTGTTTGTATGTTCATGCATTTTATTTCAGATGATTTTGAGGAGCCGTCCCCGTCCCACTGCCCCCATTTAACAAAATTTCTTGTTGTTGACGCACATGCATCCTGTTGAGAGGAGAAAACATTCAGGGCTTTTTAATTTTTCTTTTTGCTTGCTTGCTTTTATCTGTCCATCCATCCATCCATCCATCCATCCATCTGGCATTTGTCTTTTTTGGACTTGGGTATTTAAGTATTAGCTTCTATCAGGGTATTAGTGTCTTTAATTGTTCTCCGTTGAACATTCATTTCTCTTAGACAGGTGGGGACATCCACAAGTTCAGATTACCCTTTTGTTTTGATGACTTTTCAGAATTCCAATCCGGTGTCTTCCAGCCCTGCTTCATATTATCTGTATTTACAAACCATGGGAGAATATACTCTATATGCTCTGCCTGACTGTTTAAGCAGAAATAATGATATATAGGGAAGTAAGACATCAGCTCAGATTCCTAGGAAGAAATGTTGCACTTGATAACTTTTTTGTTTGTTTCATATGACCAGGGAAGATAAAAGTTGGAAAAGTTATTTGTGACTAATAATAATACTTGTATTAAGAAAGGGCAATAAAATTCAATACTCCTCCCTTCCTTTTTTTTTTTGTTTTCCTTCAGGATCAAAACATTTGCTGAACAGTCGACTCAGAGACCAGTAAAAATAAACTCCAACTCGAGCATCATTTGACTTGGTTAGTCAGGTAATTCAATTTTACTTTGACTTAGTCATTTGTTACTTTTTTTCCCTTAAGTCTTCTGGAGGTACTACTGTCTTCTTTAATTTATAATTTAATCTTAAACTTGTTTTATGCTTCATATTTTTCTCTTTAATGATGAATGAATGCACTTGGAATGAATGTATCTGTATGTGTGTATATACATACATATATACACGCAGTTTTTGAGGGCAGAAGGGGGCTGTATGTTAGTTTAGTATGAGACACTGCCTTCAGCCCTTTGTATGTGAATATTTTAATGGCATTTAGTCAAAATCTGAATCAGCCCTACCTATTTTTAGTGTTTCACCTTGCGAAGACTTAATTTTCTCAGATTGCTTGTGCTGGCAAATAACATTTATCTAACCCCTCTCCAAACTTTTAATGTTGGCATCAGAATAGGAAAAACGAGAGTAGAAAAAGTTGTCTGATACCTGAGAAAGCAATTATGCTTTTTGTAGCTTGTCAAATTTCTTTTAGTAATACCATCATTCTCTTGGTTACCTATGCTTGAAATCTGAGTCATCTTTGAATATTTTCGCCCTTCCCTTTGATACATTTTGTAAACAAGCCCTATCTGGTTTTCTATTTTCATGTCTTCTGCATTTGTCTCACTTTCTGTTTCTAATCATAGCCTCCTAGGCCAAGACCCCATAATTTCATGCTTGTATTTGTCCAATAGTCCCTTTACTGCTTCCTTGTCTACTGTTTTTACCTACTTGAAATTTTGCTAGAAAATTTTCTTAATTCTATGTCTTTAACCACGCCTCTGTTTTGCTCCAAGTTTTTTGTGCTACCTTTTCCTAGCTTACAAAAAAAAAGTACAAACTCCCTTCTCTGACTTTTGAAAATGGTCCTTTGTCTGGGAATCTGTGTAAGCCTCCGGCCTTAGCTTTTCCTGTTTCTTTGTAGAATCCTTCAAATAATTATTGTATATACCTGTTATATTTTGAATACAGCAGAGAACTATCTCCATGATTTTTATTTTCTAAAAAATACTTTTTATTTAGAAATAATTTCAAATTTACAGAAGTTACAAAAATAAAAATAGGATAAACATCTGAATATGCTTTATCTAGAGTCACCCACTTGCGTTATTATTTACATTCATATGTGCTTCTGCTCTCCTTCTTTCTCTATAACGTGCGTGTTCTCTCTTTTCTGAATCATTTGAGGGTAAACATGTATTCTGCTTCTTTCCCCTAAAACTTCTGTTGTTTCCCAAGAATAAGGTCATTATGCTAACTCTAATAATTGTGCAGTTATTAACTTTATGAATTGACATTGATACAAATCGACTGTCTGTATTACAGTTTTGTCAGTTGATCTAATAAACGTCTATTATTATGTATATTATATATATATATATATATATATATAAAAGTATTATATTTTCCCACACTTTTAGTACAGAATTCTAGTTGAGAGTCAAGTACTGCATTTAGTTAACATTTCTTTTTATCCGCCATATTCCTGGAATACTTTTGTAGCCTTGTCATTGATTTTTTTTTTTTTTTAAGGTCTTTTGCAGCAGATTTGCCCAATGCAATGTGTCCTTTTAATTTCTTTTCTTCTTCTTTTTTTAAACTCATGTTACTGTTATTTGTTACAGCTCCTTTTTCCTTTCCTTTTTTAAAATTATTGTGCTTTAGATGAAAGTTTACAGAACAAACTAGCTTCTCATTAAACAATTAGTACACATATTGTTTTGTAACATTGGTTACCAACCCTTCGACATGTCAACACTCTGCCTTCTCAACCTTGGGTTCCCTATTACCAGCTTTCCTGTTCTTCCTGCCTTCTCATCCTTGCTCGTGGGCTGATGTGCCCCTTTAGTCTTGTTATATTGTTATGTTTTATGGGCCTCTCTAGTCTTTGGCTGAAGGGTAAACTTCAGGAGTGACTTCAGTACTGAGCTAAAATGGTGTCTGGGGGCCATACTCTCGGGGTTTCTCCGGTCTCTGTCAGGCCAGTAAGTCTGGTCTTTTTTTGTGAGTTAGAATTTTGTTTTACATTTTTCTCCAGCTCTGTCTGGGGCCCTTTTTTGTGATCCCTGTCAGAGCAGTCAGTGGTGGTAGCCAGGCATCTAGTTGTGCCGGACTCAGTCTGGTGGAGGCTGTGGTAGTTGTGGTCCATTAGTCCTTTGGACTAATCTTTCACTTGTGTCTTTGGTTTTCTTCATTCTCCTTTGCTCCTGAGGTGTCATTGATATTTTTGAAGAATACAGTCCTCCTCCACTCTCACCACACCCCCCACCCCGAAAAAAAAAAGAAGAATGTTCTTCATTTTATGTTTGTCTGAAGTTTCCTTGTGATTACATTGAGGTAATGCATTCTTGGCTGGAACACTGCATAGGTGATGTGATACTCTGAGAAAGATACTCAACATCTGGAGGCACCTGATTTCCCTCTGTCCCTCATTGTGATGTTAATTTCAAGCACTGGACCAAGTTGCTAGATTTCTCCACAGCATCTCCCCTCACCCCATCCCTCCCACCCCCCACCCCACCCCCTTGCAGGCAGGAAGCAGTCTTTGGGGGAGCCACTGTAAATATCCTGATCCTCATCACAGTTTCCCCTAGATTTAGCATTATTGATGAGTCTTGTCTGATTGAATTTTTTACTATGATGATTGCAAAATGGTAGTTTCCTCATTCCAGCATTCCCTTCATATTTACCAGTCAGCCTTTGGCATTATCCTGTAATCAAGAGCCTTGTCTGTCAGTAGGGACTCAGGAATTTTTTTTTTTTTTTTAAATATTTTATTGTACTTCAGGTGAAGGCTTACAGAACAAATAGTTTCTTATGAAACAGTAGTACACATGTTGTTTTATGACATTGGTTAACAACCCCACGGCATACTAACCCTCTAACTTCTCAACCTTTTTTTTTTTGTGAAAATACACATAGCCAAAGATGTACCATTTCAAAAATTTCTACATACACAGTTCAGTGACATTGACTACGCTCTTCCAATTGTGCTGTTACTCTCATTTAAAATGAAGGCTTACAGAACAAAATAGTTTCTCATTTAACAGTTACTACAAATGTTGCCCTATGACAATGGTTAACAATCTCACAACACATCAACAATATCCTTACTCAACCTTGGGTTCCCTATCACCAGCTTCCTTGTCCCCTTCTGCCTTCTGGCCCTTGTCACTGGACTCCTGTACCTCATTAGTCTCATTTGGTTTTATGGGGCTGTCCACTCCCAGGCTGAACGGTGAACCTCGGAGGTAACTTCACCACTGCGCTAAAAGGGCATCTGGGGACCACACTCTTGAGGTTTCTCCAGTCTCCTTTAGGCCAGTAAATCTGGTCTTTTTTTTGTGAGTTAGAATTATGCTCTACATCCTTCTCCAGCTCTGTCCAGAACCCTCTGTTGTGATCTGGGAGTCAGGAATTTTTATTTTTTGAATGGTTTATCAGTTACTATTCTACTTAATTATTTTGGTGCTGAAATTGTCCTAGGTTTGGCCATTGGAGCTCCTTTAATTGGACTTCTATGTCCTTATGGAGAACATATAGTATTTGAGACCAAGTCCCTCTGGATTGCTCCTTGGTTGTCTTAGTTTCTGCCCTTTCAGCAGGCAGAGCTAGGAAATACATGTATGTTTATAAACATATGCATATAGATACATAACTTGTACGTAGGTACACATGCATTTACACATGCACATACATATTTTAGATATCATGAGTTTATATTAATATGTCCAATTTCAGCCTGTGTCTACAAGGTTCTTTCTACCCTCCCCTTTTCTCCTTTGCCACGAGAACTCTAGCTTCCAGGATCATCAGTACACTTATTCATTTGCTCAGTCCTGTATAACATTTAAAATAGTTTCAGAATTGCTTTGCCCATTTCACTACAATAAATGAATTTAATGAAAACGAGTGGAGAATTCGTTGTAAATTTTCCCCTAAGCCCCAATACCACCCTGCCCAAGACTGAGGGTAAATATAGTTAAGTATTGTGTTCTTAAATTACTTGAATTAGTGTTTCCTATGTCTCTCTCTTCCCCTTTCCACTCTTAGTTTTCACCCTTGCTTTCTGCATGGTGCAGCTATGATGTTTATTTGAAATGCAGTTGGGTTCATTTGTTTACTTGAGTTTCACTTTGGTTAGGCTCTGGTAAAATAATTTCCCTTGAGTTCAGGCTTTTGTTAAGGAGAGCTGAATGCTATTGGCGTATTTCAAAATGGTCGTCCCTGCCCCGCCCCTTCTGAATGCACGAGTGGATTTTCCTCCAGTCTTTATAGTAACCTGGTGGGGCTTCTGGAGGTAAAACTCAGGAAAACGTGGGGACCTCCCTACTCTTCTCCCACCCCCCGAGTCTTGATTTCTGTAAGTACTAGTGGCCTCGGCAGAGGTCTTCTGCTCCTGGGCCTCTGCTCCAGATAAGCTGTGATTCTCTGTACCTGCCTCCCTCCATTTCTTGGGGCACGGCCTTGCCCTGTGACCTCAATTCTTTGGTGAATTGAAGAGTTGTTACTTTTCAGTTTCTTCAGCTTTTTTCTTGTTTAGGAAGGGAATGATTGCCTCTAACCTCTTTACCTGTTGAACTGTAAATTGGAAGCCAAGAGATTATTTACTTATTTATTTTAATATATTCTGGATACTAGCCCTTTTCAGCTAATATGTTCTTAGAGTATTTTCTCCCAGTCCTTGCCTTTCCTTTTCATTTTCTTAATTTCTTTTGAAGGGCAAGAGTTTTGAATTTTGAAATCCAACTTAACCATGTTTTTCATTTTATGGTTGATGCTTTTTATGTACTAAGAGATCTTTGCCAACTACACCAAGGTTATAAAGATTTTCTCCTGTATTTTCTTGTAGAAGTTTTTATAGTTTCAGTTTTATATTTAGGTCTGTGATCCATGTTGATTTAATTTTTGTGTATGGTGTGAAGAAGGGGTTGAGGTTCAGTTTAAAAGATATGGATATCCAGTTTTTCCAGTGCTATTTGTTGAAAAGACTCTTCC